TGTTATTACTGCTGCTGCAAGGGCTAGATTGAGTAGTGAATTTGAGTTCAAAGGTGCTGTGGTTGAGTCTAAGGGCTGACACAGATATAATTCACTTATTTACACTTGCTCAGTATAAAGTTTTGTTGAAAAACTTGCTGAAATCAATCATGGACAGTAAACTCATCTGTGTTGCCTAATTTGCTGACAGATTCTTAGATTTAAGTACTAATTGATTGTATCTTGCTGTATTATGAGTTTTTGATCTTCTTGCAAGTATATTTTGATGAATCTAGTCTGCTGAAGTTGACATTGTGATAATATTTTGGTTAGCTACAATTTTCAGTATTAAAACCCTAGGACTTAAACTGAGTTCTGCTGAACCGAGGGCTACTATGAATTCTGTGATTATCTCATGTTATAATTCATTGTTTTCAATTATGATTATAAGTACCACAGAGAATGAAGATTGAATATGATGCTAATGATTGATTCACGGAAGGAAATTCCCACTTTACCCCTCAAGTACTAATTGTTGCAAATTGAAGTTATGAAGTAGTAATTTGGCATTCTGAATTGTCTGGTCTATTTCGATTGAATGAAGGGCTGGTGTTTATTGTTTTTCATATACCTTGATGTATTTGGTGAGCTTAGAGAGCTTGTTTAGTCCAGGTAGGGTTGCCTAGGACAGGGGGAGTGTGTGTACACACTTGTTGAGCTAGTGTGTGAGTAGAGTATGTGAAAACTAGTGTCTACTTCTATGACAAGGGTGTGTGCAGAGAGTGAGACAGCTGAGTGTGTAACAGCTTACTTGCAGCTAGTGGATGATTGAATTGGCATTGGCCAAGAACCAAGGTTTTCCTTGATTAAGAGGGTTTCCTTGTAAATTCTGTTGCAGTGTTCATTGATTATTGTTTTGACTATTTTTAAGTTGTTTTTCAAAGAAGGTTTTGACCAATTCACCCCCCTATTGGTCCAACAATTGGTATCAGAGCTTTGGTCTGCTGTATAGGGTTCTAGTAAGCCTGCAGTTGATCTTTGAAATGGATGAAGGCCAAGCTACAAACAAAGCTCTAGGGTTCAGTGGTGTGAACTATGATTCATGGAAAATCAGAATGGAAGCATTCTTAATGTCTCACTCTTATGATGTCTGGCATGCTGCTATGAATGGAATTGTGGTTCTTAGTCCTGAAAATCCCTCTGAAGCTGATAAAATTGTTGTGGCTAATGATGGTAAAGCCAAACATGTCATTTACTGTGCTTTAAACCAACAAGAGTTCACTAGAGTCAAGAATTGCAAGTCAGCTAAAGAAATGTGGGACTCTCTTTAGGCTGCCCATGAAGGAAGCACTGTCATTAAAGAAAACAAGATTCAGCTCTATAAAGTTTAATATGAAGCTTGTAAGATGGAGGAAAGGGAAACTGTAGCTGAGTACTTGTTTAGGATCAATGATATTGTCAACAATATGAAATCCCTTGGTGAAGACATTAAAGACTCAGATGTTTACAAGAAAATACTCAGGTCTCTTACACCCAGATTCAATGCAAAGGTTACAATTCTTGAGGATAAAGACTTATCTCAAATGAAGATTGATGATCTACAAGCTTCTCTTACAGCCTATGAAATGAGAATTAGAACTCCAACTATTCAAAGAAGAGAAGCTGCACTTAAAGTCAATGAAGTTACTGAAGATTCTGAACCAAAGTCTGAGGAGGATGATCTTGAAGAGGATGAAGTGGCCTATCTGTCAAAGAAGTTTAAGAAATTCAGATTTAAGAAGAGAAGTCAATCTCAAAATCTAACTTGTTATGGGTGTGGCAAGCTTGGCCATTATATCTCAAGTTGTCTAACTTCAAAAGGGCAAAACCAGAGGAAGAAAGAAGGGGGAAACTTCAAGGGAAGATTTGGAAGAAAGGTTCTCTTTTCAGATTGGGATTCAATTTCTAAAGAAGACAAACCTGAAGAATCAAAAGAAGATGAGTGTTTGTTTATGGCTACACTTGAAACATCACAGAAAGCAACTGAAGTTGAAGAAGATAGTGAAGATAGTGACTTAGAGATTGAAGAAATACTTGAAGAATGTGAGAGGCTTGCTGTGAAGTGCAATCAACAAAATTCTTAGCTGTAAGCCCTTAGCTCTGAGTTGCAAAAATCCAAACAACTTCTTGTTAAACATTTCAAACTTAAGCTGTCTACCTTATGTTCAATTTCTCTCATCTTCTCAAGTCTAAAGAAGTCTCAATCCAACACTGAATGGTCAACCAAAAGATGCGGAGAAGAACTTTCACTAATTCTTGAAGAAAGGTCTTTGAAAATGGCTAAGATTTAGAAGCAATCCACAAAGCAAATTGGGAAGACTGGAATTGGTTACATTTGTTACACTACAACCAAAGTTAAACAAAACCACACTGTGTTTGTTAAGGCATCTTCAGGAGAATTGTATGCAAGATATCCAATTATAAAACCCTCGAGAACAAAGCATGATGTATTTGACAACTTCTACAGCAAGTCAAGGTTAAATGAAACTGATTTTATCACATCATCCTTCAGGAATTACAAAGTTACCGAAATGTATATAAAAAAGTCTGACATAACTCCAGTTCAGAAAGTTAAGGATAACAGATTTCTTGTGAAGTCTAAGATGATGTGGATACCAAAGAGAATGAATGCTGTAAGTATGTTGGTGTATACTGCTTTCAAAGCTGGTAACACAAATGACAAATGGTATGTTGACAGTGGCTGCTCGAGACACATGACAGGTGATGGTTCTAAGTTTGTATCTCTAAAAAACTTTGATGGAGGAAATGTCATCTTTGGAGACAATCAAAAGGCCAAGATTATTGGTATTGGCACTGTGAGTAAGTCTGATGAATTACTTGAGATCAAAGAGGTATTAATTGTTGAAGGCCTTAAACATAATCTTCTAAGTGTAAGCCAACTATGTGACAATGTGAAGAAAGTCTGTTTTGATAAACAAAGATGTAATGTGGTTGATATTGAATAAGAAAAAGCCTTACTCTCAGCTTGCAGATCCTCTGAAAATGTGTACACAGTCTCAAAAGAAGCTACTTATTGCAATCTGACCTCTCTAGATGAAGTTATACTGTGGCATAAGAGACTAGGTCATCTTCACTCAAAAAATCTAATCAAAATCCTGAAGTTGAAAGCTGTGAAAGGTCTACTTGATTTAAAATTTAGTGACAATCATCTATGCAAAGCATGTCAGCAAGGTAAACAAACTAAAGTGTCATTCCTTTCCAAAGAAATCAATACATCCAGAGCTCTTGATTTGATACATATGGATCTCTGTTGTCCTACCAGAACTACAAGCATTGGTGGAAGTAAGTACTTTATGCTACTCATTGATGATTTTAGTAGAATGGTGTGGGTTTACTTTCTGAAAGAAAAGTCTGAGGCTATAACACACTTCATTAAGTTTGTAAATCTTGTTGAAAATAAAAGAGGCTGTACTGTGAAAAAGCTTAGATCTGATTTTGGTTCTGAGTTTACAATGAGGGAATTTGAAAGTTATTGTGATGTAAAAGGTATTAAGAAAGAGTTCTCAGCTGTAGTTACTCCTCAACAAAATGGGGTTGTGGAAAGGAAGAATAGAACTGTTCAGGAAATAGGGAGAACTATGCTACTTGAAAAAGGTCTTGTAAAGGGATTTTGGGCTGAAGCTGTTAATACAGCTGTGTATATCATCAACAGGGTACTTTGTAGACCTAATTCATGTAAAACTCCTTTTGAACTATGGTATGGAAGACCTGCAACAGTTCATTACTTTAAAGTGTTTGGCAGTACGTGTTTCATTCTCAATCATATAGAGAATTTAGGAAAATTTGATTCCAAGGCTGATGAAGGGATATTCTTGGGGTACTCTACAAAAAGCAAGGCTTACAGATGCTACAATCTAAGATCCTCCAAGGTTATTGAATCAATTCATGTTAAATTTGATGAAACTCCTCAGTTCAGCATCAATGATGACATTAGTTCTACACCAGGATTAACTGAAGCCAGTCCATCTCATTCTGTTCAAGGGTTAGATAAATTTGTTAAATCTACTTCAGAACTTGATGATCATAGAGAAGTTACTTATCCAAGATTACAAAAACAGGTTCAAGCTAAAAACATCATTGGTTCTCCTCAGGCTGGTGTTCATACAAGAAATAAGAAGAAACTCACTGAATTAGAAGCTGATGATGGTGAAGAATATAGTCATTTTGCAATGTTATCCTCTATTGAACCAAAGTCTTATTCTAAAGCACAGAAAATTGAAGATTGGATGGTTGCTATGAAAGAAGAACTTGATCAAATTCACAAGAATGACACTTGGACACTGATTCTTAGACCTATAGCTAAAAATGTTATTGGTTCCAAATAGATTTACAAAAACAAACTTGATGAAAAAGGAACAGTTATTAGAAATAAGGTTAGATTGGTGTGTAAAGGATACTCTCAACAAGCTGGTATTGACTATGATGAAACTTTTGCCCCAATTGCTAGGAAGGAATCTATTAGAATGCTCTTGTCCTTTGCTTGTCACAAACAAGTCAAAGTGTATCAAATGGATGTTAAGTCTACCTTTTTGAATGGAGAGTTAAATGAAGAAGTATACCTAAAACAACCTGAAGGTTTTGAAGATCCCAAGTATCCCTCCTATGTTTTCAAGTTAAACAAGGCCTTGTATAGTCTCAAATAGGCTCCCAGGGCTTGGTATGAAAAACTGCATCAGTTCTTGATTGAACAAGGTTTTCATAGAGGAAAAGTAGATAGCACTCTTTATGTCAAGCTTCATCAAGATCAGTTCCTTATTCTTAAAGTCTATGTTAATGACATTATGTTTTGTGGCTCCAATACATCTTTAGCCTTAGAGTTTGCCAATTTAATGAAAACCAGATTTGAAATGTCTCCTTTGGGAACTTTTAGATACTTCTTAGGTCTTCAAATTCATTAAACCTCCAAAGGAATTTTCATTTCTCAACAGAAATATGCCTCTGAGTTACTTACAAAATTCAATATGACTGAGTGCAAATCTGTTTCAACTCCCCTGTGTCCTAATTCCAAGCTGTCCCTTGAGTGTACCACAAAACCAGTTCCCTCTACTCTTTATAGGTTTATCATTAGCAGTCTATTGTACCTTATAGCTTCCAGACCTGATATCATGTATTCTGTGGGGTTAGTAGCAAGGTTTCAAAGCAATCCTAGACTCTCTCATCTTCAAGCTGCTAAAAGGATTCTGAGATATGTCAAGGGTACTATTTCCTATGGTCTACATTATATCTTCTCACCTATATTGCCTATCACAGCCTTTTTAAATGCTGATTGGGGTGGATCCTTACCTGACAGAAAAAGTACATCAGGCGGTTGCTATCTTCTTGGTTCCAACTTAGTTTCTTGGTTAAGTAAGAAGCAAGATACTGTCTCTCTGTCTACTTCAGAAGCTGAATACATAGCTGCTTCTCAGGCTGGTTCCCAACTTCTCTGGATGCACACTACTTTTGTAGATCTTGGTCTTTAATTCTCAGGTCCTCCTAAACTCTACAGTGATAATCAAAGTGCCATTGCAATAAGTAAGAATCCCATACTTCACTGGAAGATCAAACATATTAACATCAAGTATCACTTTCTTAGAGACAAAGTCCAGAAAGGCCGTATTGACATCACTTATTTACCAACTGAAAATTAACTGGCAGATATCACGACTAAACCTCTTCTCCCTCAAAGACTTTCAACCCTTAGAGCTCTTCTCAGGGTTGTTCCACCCCCTTTCTAAGCCTCTCATTGTTGGTCCTTCTCACCTTTTGTCCTTCAATGTCAAAAAGGGGGAGAAGAATGGACTGAAATAAGGGTAGTTTTTCAGCTATCCATTTTCTTACTTGTTGCTATTGTTACTCTGCTTCGTATTACTTTGGTTCAGTCTACTTCATTGAGGTCTTATTTCATGATTGAAGTTTTTGTCATTAAAGGTAAAAGGGGGAGATTGTTGGTCCTGAAGTCCCTTAAGCATTGTTTGTCTCTTTAATGTCAAAAATCTGTGCGGCAGTGGCTTCAAAGGGCTTCTTCATTGTCAAAGTTGCTTGAAATGAGTCTCAAGGATAGTGTGGTCATTTTCTAATCAGTGACTTATCCTTCATAATTGTCTTAATGTATTTATCACAGTATATCTATCTGTTCTTGCTGAATTGGCTGAGTATTGTGCGAGTTCAGTTCATGTAAATTGTCACAAATGGTTCTAGGGGTAGCATTGTCATTTCTTAGCTACATTCTATACATATACGTATGCTCAGGATGCTACATTGCACTGGATTGACCTGATTGAATCTGCATTACCATTTATACAGCCTCAGGACTTTTGTTTTGCTGAAAAGTTGAAAATATGTTACAAGGGTATTTTGGTACTTCCTTACTATACACAAGAGTGTGACATGTTCTAGTGGTTCTAAAGTAAGTGAATATGTAGGAATATTACATTTTCTTGGAGGTTAAGTCTTGAGCTAAATGGAGTGTACACCCTTGTTGTGTATATATATACATTTCAGTATGCATAGTGACAAAATATGCTGAGGTGGCCTTCAGTAATTGGATCTTGCTCCTAAAAAGATCTGCATTGTGCTGTTTCAATGATTGGCCAGAGGTGACAGGTGTATTATGATGGTGTATGAAGTTCTATGCACTGTGTGGCTTTATATAAATATGTTGTTATAGCTTTTTAAGGTTGTAGTCCTTGAGTGAGATGAAAAATTGAGCTGCAGCCTATATTCTCTCGAGAGTATTGAATGAACTTGATTCATTGAGGGTATCTAAGATGATATATGCTATAAAATCTCACTGATTCAAGATTTACTAAAGTATTTTTACTGAGGAGATGCTGCTGCTGTTTCAAAGGTGCTGTGGTTGAGTCTAAGGGCTGACACAGGTATAATTCACTTATTTACACTTACTCAGTACAAAGTTTTGTTGAAAAACCTACTGAAATCAATCTTGGACAGTAAACTCATCTGTGTTGCCTAATTTACTGAGAGATTCTTGGATTTAAGTACTAATTGATTGTATCTTGCTGTATTATGAGTTTTTGATCTTCTTACAAGTATATTTTGATGAATCTAGTCTGCTGAAGTTGACATTGTGATAATATTTTGCTTAGCTACAATTTTCAGTATTAAAACCCTAGGACTTAAACTGAGTTCTGCTGAACCAAGGGTTGGTATGAATTCTGTGATCATCTCATGCTACAATTCATTGTTTTAAGTTATGATTATGAGTACCCCAGAGAATAAAGATAGAATATGATGCTAATGATTGATTCATGAAAGGAAATTCCCACTTTACCCCTTAAGTACTAATTGCTGCAAATTGAAGTTATGAAGTGGTAATTTGGCATTTTGAATTGTCTAGCCTATTTCAATTGAAGGAAGGGTTGGTGTTTATTGTTTTTCATATACCTTGATGTATTTGGTGAGCTTAAAGAGCTTGTTTGGTCCAGGTAGGGTTGCCTAGGACAAGGGGAGTATGTGTATACACTTGTTGAGCTAGTGTGTGAGTAGATTGTGTGAAAACTAGTGTCTACTTCTGTGACAAGAGTGTGTGTAGAGAGTAAGATAGCTGAGTGTGTAACAGCTTACTTGCAGCTAGTGGATGATTGAATTAGCATTGGCCAAGAACCAAGGTTTTCCCTGATTAAGAGGGTTTCCTTGTAATTTCTGTTGCAGTGTTCATTGATTATTGTTTTGACTATTTTTAAGCTGTTTTTGAAAGAAGGTTTTGACCAATTCACCCCCCCTCTTGGTCCAACATAAACAACTATGTAACTATGAACTAAAAAGCAATAAAATGATAACACCACTTTCGTAGGGAACACGATTGCATTTAGCATATGAGACAAGCCTTTTAAACCCCTAGGTTACCTCTAGTGGACGAGTGAAGTCTCGTGAATTTTTCTAGAAATGATACCCACAAACATTGAGCTCTTTCTTACAAAAGAGGAACCAGTATACAAAACAAGCATTGGGAGAAAACTACCTCAAGTATGCAATTTTTCAACCATTTCCAAGCAATCTCCCAAAATTTCAATGTTAAGCAAGCAAGTATGGTCTTCCACACATCAAGATAATGATCATGCAAATCAAAACAACTCTAGAATTCTTTTTAAGTGAACCGGCATTAAATATGTTGTTATCTAAGCCAACTAAAGAAATAATCATGTCCGGCCTCAAACTAGCACATAAATCTAGTACCGATCATCAAAACAAAGAATGGACCTTTTATTAAAGCTTTATTAAACTAGGTGCACTTACTCTTTTCACTCGATTTTTTTTTTTTTACTAACCTAGATGATCAAAGATGAAAGTATGGTGCAATGTAGTGATCTATTAAGCTTTCTAGCGATCCACGAGGTCGACCGTTAGGTTAATGACTCCCAAATAGGATGATTTTAGGGCATTAGGCATTTAAACACCCCTAAGGACTTACAAGCTCAAATCGACTAGGCTACAAATCAAAACAACCTCCATCTAATCATTTCCCACTTCTCACCTTTTGGGAGAGTCTCACTTTTTTTTTGCTTTTGCAAATTTTATTTTATTTTATTTTATTTTATTTATTTATTATTATTTTTTTAACCTAGAGTTTGGGCCCTCCACCTTTCGGCGCGAGAAATTCAATGCTTGATGAGGCTAGAATCCTGGTTACTCAATGCAAAGGGATTGTTATCCACTTTTGTCAAGATGAAAGCTTTCAATGCACTACTAGCTCAATTGCAATATAATTAAATCAATAATCAACAAAGCATGTACCCCACAAATGAATGCTAGTGTGTGCCTGTGATAGTGTAAAACCCTAGAGTGAATCTCAAAATAATCACACGATCAGGATGATGTAGACCACAAATGCAAGCAAGATATCAATCTTTCGAAAAATTTACTCCTAAATGGCATCCATAAGGCATATAAGGAGTATTGGACTCTCAAGTGAAGCAATTTATAAATTATATGTATCATAGTCCTCAAAAGGTCAAAATCATAGCTTAGGACTCTCAAATCATACCACATGCATAGAAAGTAAGTGCGACATGTAAAATATGTTAACACACCCCTAAACTTAATCTGTGCATTGTCCTCAATGTGCAAAGAAGCAACCGATAATGGAAATAGTATACCAAATGGGTGAAGTAAAAGGGACCGGGCAATAGAAGCTTAGCTTTGGAAGGTGCACCCCCAAACTTAGATTCCAAAAACCTGTCTGAAATGGTCACACTAACAACTATCAAAGCATATGCATCAATGATATAAATGAGAGATGTAACTGAGAACTGGGCAAAAAGTATGGCATCTAACAATGTAAAGCTCAGAACTGATATCATAAATTTAAAAATCCATATATTGTAAATAAATCTAAAATAAAATATCCAGAAATCAATGTAGCAATGCAATCTAAGAAATGATATCGCAAAATATCCAAAAATCCAGTGCAAGTGTCAAGATAGTGTAAAAATATCACAGCAAGAACAGTGCAAATATGAGATAATGTGTAGGAGAGAAAATGGTGTAATCAGACAGTAGGATCTGTAGTAATCATGTTAGCAATATGCTGGAGCATGGCAGACATCTCGGTGCTGTGGCGAGTGAGAGAATCTGTAAGGTGAGTCCGCAGTGCGCCAAGCTCACCTCTCACTACAGCCACGTCTGCCTGCAAATCATCGTGCCTCCTCAGAAAACTCATTATGTCGCCTCACCAACTCCTTATGGCGCCTCACCAGATCGTTGTGCTGCCTCGTGACATCCTCATACTGCCTGGTTAGATTAGCTCTGAAAGAAATAAAGTCTGTATGCAGCTGAGTGACCTCTGATCTGTAGCAAGAATCTGGCATATTGGGAACAAGTGTCGGTCTGCTCTATCGGCTTTATGGGAGGGACATGAGATGGATCAGTCTTGTGTGATGAGGGACATCTGGTTGTGTGCTAGAGGCTGCAGTGGAAATGCGACACCTCCTCCTAGGAGGAAATCTATTGGCTGTATCATTCTCTGGAGCATCGTCCGTTGCGGCTGCCTGTGCTGCTGGTCTCTGTTGCTGTGCCTGTAGTTTCTTCATATCCCTATTTTTCCTGTTCCTATGACAGGAGTTGAAAGTCTTCGTTCACCTCGCCAGATCATATACTTTCCTCGCTCTCTCTGTATCAGGCTCTGGAATTTCCTCGTAGTCAAATTGATACCCCTGATCTAGAAGTAGCTGAGTAATCAAATGGCCAAAAGGTAAATGCCAAGTCTTTGCTCTAGTACTATGTGAGTGATGTAGGTTCTTCTAGAACTTGTGTATGAGCTCCCATATAAGTGCAAGAATAAAAATCCAGTACCCCTGGTCTAAACAGTATAAGGCCTGAAAGATCCCCTTTCACCTCTGAGTGCCATGGCCTGTCAGGAATGCATTGAGGTACAGCACTGAATCAAAGAACCAATACCGGGGATCAATCTCGACCTGGTCTGTAAAGGTGTGCCCCTCAAATGTAGTATGTGGAGATAATG